TTCATCAAATGCCCTCAGGGCAAAAGTGGCTTCTAGTGCTAGACTTCCCTTTCTGGGTTTTTGTCTTCTAGCTTTTAGCCTCATTGTTTTTTGTGGGGTTTTTTTTTCAGCTTTATTGAGATATTATTGATATATAACAAATGTGAGTTTAAGCTGTACAACATGATGATCTGATACATGTATATTTTGTGAAATGATTACTGCAATCAGAGTAGCTAAATCTCCATCTCCTCACATAACATTTTTTGTGTGTATGTGGCAATAACTTTTAAGACCTACTCTCTTAACAACTTCCAAATGTATAATACAGTATTGTTAATTATAGTCACCATGCTGGACATTAGATTCCCCAGAACTTGTTCATCTTATAGCTGAAAGTGTGTCCCCTTGACCAACAACTGCCCATCTCCCCCACCCGCCCCCAGCCCCTGGCAACCACCGTTCTACTCTCTATTTCTTTGAGTTCAGCTTTTTTAGATTCCACACATAAGTGAGAACATACAATATTTGTCTTTCTCTGTCTGACTTCTTGCACTTAACATAATGGCCTCAAGGTCCATCCATGTTGTTGCAAATGACAGGGTTTCTTTCTTCTTTGTGGCTGAATACTATTCCACTATAGATATGTACCACATCATGTTTATCCATTCATCCACTGATGAACACTTAGGTTGTTTTTATGTCCTGGCTATTGTAAATACTGTTGCAATTAACATGGAAGTACAGATTTCTCTTTGAGATGCTGATTTAATTTCCTTCAGATATTTACTCAAAAGTGGGATTTCTGGACCAGATGGCAGTTGTGTTTTTAATCTTTTGAGGAACCTCCATACTGTTTTCCATAGTGGCTGCACCAATGTACACTCCCAGCAAGTGCACAAAGGTTCCATTTTCTCTACAGCTTCACCAACATTTGTTGTCTCTTGTCCTTTTTTTTTTTTAAGCTGAGCCATCCTGCCACCTGTTGGCAGCTCAGTGGCTGCTCAGCTCAGGCCGGGCATCGAACCGCTGTTGCTCAGAGCTCAAACTCTTGAGCGAGCTCTTAACCAACTGAGCCACTCGGCTGGCCTCTCTTGTCCTTTTGATAACAGCCATTCTAACAGGTATGAGGTGATATCTCCCTGTGGTGTGATTTGCATTTCACTGATAATTAGTGATGTTGAGCACCTTTTCATGTACCTGTTGGCCATTTGTATATCTTCTTTGGAAAAATATCTATTCAGTTCCTCTGCCCATTTTTAAATCAGATTATTGATGTTTTTGCTATTGAATTGTATGGGTTCCTTATACATCTTGGATATTAAGCCCTTATCAGATGTGTGGTTTGCGAATACTTTGTCCCAGTCTATAGATTGTCTTTTTATTTTGCTGATTGTTTCTTTTGCTGGGCAGAAGCTTTTGAGCTTAATGTAGTCCTATTTTTTTGCTTTTTGCTTTTGTTGCTTATAATTTTGGTGTCATACCCAAAAAATTGTTGCCAAGACCAATGTCAAGGAACAAATTCCCTATGTTTTCTTCTAGAAGTTTTATAGTTTCAGGTCTTACATTTAAGTCTTTAATCCTTTCTGAATTAATTTTTGTGCTTTGTATAAGATGGGATCCAAGTTCAGTTTTCTGCATGCGCTTATCCAGTTTCCCCATCACCATTTATTGCAGAGACTATCCTTTCCCCACTGAGTCTTCCTGGCTCCCTTGTCAAATAGTAATTGACTGTACATGCTTGGGGGTTTTTCCGGGCTCTCAATTCTGTTCCATTTGCCTATGGGTCTATTTTTATGCCAATGCCATACTGTTTTGATTACTATAGCTATATAATACATTCTAAAATCAGGAATTGTGATGCCTCCAGCTCTGTTCTTCTTTCTCAGGATTGCTTTGGCTATTTGGGAGTCTTTTGTGGTGCTGTACAAATTTTAGGATTGTTTGTTCTAGGTCTGCAAAAAACACCTTTGGAATTTTGATAGGGGTTTCATTGAATCCATAGATTAGCCTCATTATTTTTAGCTTATAATGAAGATGATTTCTTCCTCTATTTCATTCAGTTTTAATTACTTGTCCTCATTTGGACAGTTAGTCCAAATCACCTAGGTTGCTATTACCAGAAGCAGAGGTATATTATACCCTCCTAACTGTTCTCATTGTCCTCAATCTCCCTTCCAGTCCTCTTTTCCAAAGTAAACAGGTATTCTTCCAAGGCACCACTGGATTAAGTCATTCCTTTGCACAAACACTTCAAAAGCTTATGGTTGGCTCTAAAATAAAAAACGAATTCCTCAGTTTGGACAATTGGTACAAAACTCTCTTTCTGGTTTCATTTATTGATTGTGAACTGTGTGTGTGGTGCTCACTAGGTCAGGTTGTACCTAATCCCTTGCCTCTTACCTCTCTTACTTCTTGGTTTACTCCAGATTTACCCTACACTCCAGCCATATTGGAACATTCACTGTCACGTGACAGGCTTGGGTCCAGAACACAGTTGGGCTAACCTCTAGGTCAATACTCTTTCCCCTACACCGTGATCCCATATTCATGTTTAAGTCCATTAAATCTAGATGCTTACGGATATTCTAATAAATTAACTAGCCAAATCGGAACAAGTACAAATGATAGTGGCATTTTTGCATTTCGTGTTGCTTTTTGGGCCATTTGTCTTGTGAGTTAGAAATTTCAACTAAGCATTATCTCTAGGGAGAGTAGAAGTGGGGGAGGGCCCTCTGGGATGTAAGGTCTGGAAGTGAATTCATCATCATCATCAACAACAACTTTTTGGCAATCTTCATAGTCAAAAAGCCACCTAGGAGTAAAACTTCAAGCTTCAGGCTTGTTTTCCCTGATAAATGAGAGACTGATTGCCTATGGAATTTTATTCCAGGGTGCTGGGAACATCCACATCTAAATATATCTACTGCCACCTGCTGACAATTGCCTGAACTCCCTGTCAGAGCTGAATCACGCTAAAAAACGTAGCGGTTTTCTGGAAATAGGCAAACCTGGAAATGGGGATTCTAGTTTGGGTTTCTACTGTTATGTGATATTTTTGTATGTGGCTACTCCATTTTCGTTCTCTGGGCCTCAGTTTCCCTATATTACAAGCCAGGTCAAATGACAAAATGACCTAGAATGGCCCTTCCACTTTTATTAAGCAAGGATTGTCTGTACAAGGATGTCTGGGTGACCATGAACAATGGGGACAGAACTAATAGCAATAAGGGTGGGCCGATTGATCCACTCCTGTATATGATAGTCAGTGACATATAGGTCCCACCATCTTTTTTTATTTCTGCATTCATGTGGAAAGGAGAGCATTTGCTGCAATTGCAGGGGAAAGAGGGACAAGAAGGTGCAAGGATACTCTGCTTGTTAAAAGAAGGCAGAGGACTATGAGACAATGTTTTAAAGTTTGATTCTAAAATGGTTAAGAAAGTGGAGATAAAGAGTTAAACCCTTAGTTGTGGGAAACCTCGGCCAACCAGGCAACTTAATCTCTGCTGGGCACAAGCAGCCCCCACTCACTTCACCAAACGCTGAGGGAAAGGGGAAGAGGGCTGTATTTCTGTGTGAACGTTCTAGCTAACCAAGAATGAACTTGAAATCCATTTTCATTGCAACCCTTCTCAGTGGCATGCCTTAGGAGGTTCAGCACTTGTGAACATGGCTGAAGTCTGTTTGTCGACTGTCCTTCTAGCCCATGAACTTGCTTTGTTATGGATCTGAACATGGGAAGAAGAGAGGGGAATGGGTGGAGGTTTTTCCTTATTCTCTGAGACCCTTCTGTTTCATAGGACAGTGTTTGAGGTAGTGGAAAGAATAAGAGCCCTCTAGTCAAAATTCCAGGCTTTTTCCACATGATGGGCCAGAATGCAAGAGCAGTGGAGTAGCCGAAACTCCCTTAAACACCTGAAACACTGGCCTTTGCTTTCCATGTGTCAGCCATGGACCCTCCTGTCAACTCCGCATGCCCTGACAGTGGGACAGAGTCACAGCTCAGGGTGATCCCAGTTGGTGAACCCTTCCAGTTCCCTGAGCTTTTTCCCAGGGACCCAAACTTGGGGCCAAGAGCACTCTGGGAAATTAAAGTCTTCAAGAAACTCTTGGGCTCTTGGAGCCCAGTGTCCATCCTAATGGAGGGGCACCCTTGCTGTGGCTAGAGCTGTCATAAAACCCACTGGCGATCCCCGTCCACTCCACCCAGAGGCAAGGCACGTGGGTTTACTGGAGGGCCATGGGTTTGGGGATGAGCAGCAGTCAGACACCTCCTGATCCTCAAATGTGTCCAGCTCTTTAATTACATAGATTCAGCCAGGGTAGTCAAATCACCCCGTTCCCTTCACCACACACACACACACACACACACACACACACACACACACACACACACACGAAAACTCTCGAGCACATGCTTTTCCAAGAGAAACACACATTTTACATATTTGCGGAGAGGAAAAGCAGGATCAAACTGGTGCCCCTCGCCGCGGATCGGTGCCCAGCCCTCCAGCAGCTGGCTCCCCTCCTCCTTCCCCTCCCCTTTCCCCTCTCTCGGCCCAGCCCAACCCCTGTCTGTCTGAGGCTGGCCAGGGGACGACTGCAGAGCCCTTGAAGGGGCGGGGGGCCGGGCGGCGCGCAGGCTGCGGGGCGGAGGCAAGAGTACGCGCCTTTTTGTGTGCTCCTGGCACCTGCCGGATTGGTTCGGCCGGTGCTGCCGTCGGAGTGGGCGGAGCCAGCCGAAAGACCCGCTCAGTGCCCAGTCGCAACCAGGAGCGGCCGCAGACGGAGCGCACCATCGCAGCTGCCGGGCGCGTCCAAGAGCGCTGCGTCGGGCACAGCTGCGGGGGCTGCCCCTCCCGCGCTCCCTGCTCCCCTTACCCTCGCTACTGTCTCCTTGGAGGCGACTCCTAGCGACTCCCGAGCTTCCCCTTGCCCTGCACTGACCCTACCCCGTCCCTTTCCCCGCCGGCGGTCGGCCGTCTCTCGTGCCCTTCGGCCCGCAGAGCGCCGCGGCCATGGGCATCCGAGGGATGCTGCGAGCCGCCGTGCTTCTGCTGCTCATCAGGACCTGGCTCTCAGAGGGCAACCACGCCAGTCCCATCCCGAAATTCCACTTCGAGGTCTCCTCTCCCGTGCCCGAAGTCGTCCAGAACGTCTTTAACTGGTAAGCAGGCGCTGCCAGGGTGGGCAGGGCGACGACCCAGGCGGGTGGGCCACCTCAGGCCTCTTGGACGGAGCGGGCTCGGGGAGACTTGGACCCGGGTTCGCCGAGCCCTGACGCTCGGGCCTTACCTGCTGGTACTTGGAGGGGAGTGGGGTAGGAGCGGGGTGGGGGGGGTGACTGGTTGAAAGAGCCCTGTGCTAAAGCCCACCTGTTACTGTGGCGCCTGAGAGCTCTGCGTGTGCCCAAACTGCAGCCCCGGGGGTAGGGAGAAGATGCTCTCACCTCAGGGTTTGCCATCCATCCCCAGGAACTAGACCCTGGGCAGCTTTTCCCAGTCATGTCCTTTGACACCTGTGAGATTGGGGTGGGGGTGGTACAGGGCGATGAGCAATTCTCAAAACATAGACAGTAGAGACACCTGTTTGAGTCCGCATTTTAGTCTGTTCCTTGAGGCGCGCGCGTGTGTGTTCGTGCGTGTGCGTGTTGAGCGGTGAGGACCTTCTGCGATGCCACAGATAGAATTATTGAACTAAATCGGAGCCCACACAGGGCGATCGGTGGCTGTATAACCGTATCACCGGGTGGCCTGAGATAGGTGAGCTTTTGTCTGTGAACACATTTAAAGATCCAGGTTTTCTTCTGTGTTTGATATCAAGTTTGTTCGGGTCTGCAAATAACCGAAGAAATGTTAAACAGTCAGCCTTTACGTGTAGATCACACAGAAATATATATTTGTGGTGGCCCGGGAACCTGAGCGCTGGCATATGGGTAATATGTGGTCCTAAACAGGTGGGAATGCATTGCTTTAATTCGGGAATAATTTATGTGCACACTTCGGAATGATGCAAAGTGAAATTTTGTCATTAAAGATGATTGGAAATAATTTTTTAAATGGCAAACCAGAAATGAATACGTATTCAGAAAAAAGAGGGGGGGGGTAGTTGGGCAAGGTTCCAGCAGACAGCTCTGCAATGGCCTCAACTCCAACCCAGCATACCAGACTGCGCTAGTGAACACACACACACACACACACACAGACACACACACACACACCCTGAGATTTACAGGGGCTGTCTTTCTCTGGTCATTGTGTCAAAGATTCTAAGACAAATAGTGATCACCAGGGGCTGTTCTAATTCACAAGCCTCTCTTGGGGAAAAGAGACCCCCTGAAGAGCTAGGTGAATTGGGTGAGCACATTAGAGACTTCTGGAAAAGCCAGCTATGCTGGGCTGAGCTGGGGCCACTTACATGTGCTCACCCAAGACACGTCTAGGCTAGAAGCACATACTTAGCCAGAGAGATGCCTGCTCCCAGAATATGTCCTTTTGAGGACAGCCCTGAACCCCAAGAATCTGAAATGGTGTGGTTAGGTGAGGGTCGTAAATCTCTGCTGAATGCGCCATGCTCTCTCTCTCTCTGCGTCATATACCACATGCCAAGTCTTAAAACAGAGGCGTACAAAAAGAAGGTGTACATAGACGTGACAACAAAGTGCCCAGCATTAGCCCAGATAGGGGAAATGGGACTGAGCTGGAGAAGGCAGACTGGTTGGCTCAGCTCAGGCTGGCACTGAAGGTAGAAGATGGCCTTTCCTGGGGCAATCAGGTGCCCCTGGAAGGAGGATGCCCACCAACCCAGAAAGCAGCATCCAAGTGGGGCTCCCTAGGGGGTTGAAGTAATGCATTTATCTGAGGGCTTGCACTTGCCCACTCCCTCCCCTCTCCACCTCCCCTACTGGCTCCCTTATTCCCCACCCCCAATCCTGCCTGGTAACCAGGATCCAGTCATTGTGCCCTACCCTCTGGATAAAAGCTAAGGAGGGGGAGGGGGAAATAGGAGTCTGCGTCACTGCCGCGCTTCTGGCTGACTCACTGTGGGGAGGGAGGGGGGCGGAGAGAGACGTGTACATGTATGACTGTACATGTCTGCGTGTGTGCAGGAGAAGGGAAGGCCCTGGCAAGTTGACACCTGGTGTGCTCTTTGTTGTTTGTTCTCTGAGAGGCAATATGGCATTTACTAATGATTTCTCTGTTTTAGCAAAAATTGTGCAAATGAAGCTGTGGTTCACAAGATTTTGGACAGGGTGCTGTCGCGATATGATGCCCGTCTGAGACCAAATTTTGGAGGTAAGACACGTCCACACACTAGAGGCCTGCGTATGGGTGGAATAGAGCTGAGATACAATAAGCCAGCCCCATCCAATGAGCTGACCAGTGGCACTTCCCCTGCTTCACACTTCTGCCTCTCCCCTTGGGACACCTGCGGCGAGCACTCCCAGCCCCCCCAACCTCCAGGCCTTATACTCTACCCCCTGGAATTTTCCCCACTTCTCTACCTTCTTATGCATTTCACACATCCATCCGGTCCCCTCCACACTCTTTTACAATGCCACATTGTGAACCTGCATCTCGCTTCCTGGTGTGGCTAGGAAAGTGCTAACCACAGAAATAGGCATGCCAGAAAAATGCGCGCTGTGCTTCGCAGGCTAGAGTTTTCTGCTCCATCTATGGGGAAGGCACACGTTCTCTTACTTGATCACACATTCTGTGCACCCCGGACACTCGCCCTATTCAGCTAGTTCAAAACTAAAGGCATTGCTTCTCAGTCCTGTTTATTTCGCCCACCCACCCACCAGCTCCTAGGCAGTTCTACCTCTGCCACTGTCCCCAGACCTTCAGCGCCCACCAAGTTAATTTCATTCAATACATTACAGGCAGTGTGATCTTTATAAATCTAGCCTGATCACCTCGGGAAGTTTTGATGGTTTTATTTAACTTCCAAATAAAATCCAAACGCCTTAGCCTAGCACTCAGATCTCAAGCACAGAGGTGAGGAAGGACAAGGAAACTGAAGCATGAACCTCCAGGAAGCCAATACATCAGTTTCTCCCTATAGCTCTACTTCGCCTGCCCCCCCCCACCCGAGAAGGGATGACTGGCCTCCTTCACAGGGCTTTAAGGGGACAAGCATCCTACCCTGACCCCACAGAACAAGACACCCAGGAAACCTAGACGAAAGGCAGACAAACGGAAGGGTGCATTAGAGGTTAGTCACACTTCTGCTCAAAGGAACAGAGAAAGAGCTAAAACAAACAACAGAGTGGTTAAGCCAGAGAAGCACTCCGCTTCCTACAGGTGGTAGAGTCAACCCCCCACGCTAAAGGGTTAATGAATGCTAATGGTTCACATTTGTGCATATGAATAGAGGTCTTCCGAATACACAATGGCTCCACTCCAACCAGCTCACAGCTGTAGGAGCTTGCCCTATTGTAGACCGGTGGGGGCTGCTGTGATTTGTTTGGGGAGCCACCTTGGAAACCAAGGTTGTCGCCCTGGTCTCAGCGTGGAGGTGGGACACTTCACTAGTGTCCCCTTTGCTGTTGTTGCTCCTTCTGCGTGCGAGGGCAGATGGCACAGCTCCAGGATCCAAGGTGAGTGTGCACTGGGATGGGAAGCGGGGCTGCAGAGAGCGGAAGGCAGGCTCTTTCCATATGGGAATTCAGGTGTTAGGGCACAGCCAGCACCCCATTGCATGACACCGGTTTTGGATCAGTTGCACCAAGCACCAGTGGGTGTCAAGGGAGTAGCTACTACATTTTCTCCTTTCCTTGTTCTCTTGTTTCCCAGCAAAGGCTCACCAACAGCCATTTAAATACGCCAAGCACTTTCTCTCCGCTGTTTCAAGATGGCATCTCTGCAGGCACCCAGGACAGGGGGTGGGGCGAGGAAGCAGGGGCAAGGGCCAACCTCTGGGGATTGTCAGGTGTCAATGGGTGACAGTATCTCCAAGGCACCTTACTACCGTCTTGTGAGTTAATTCGGATTTGTTTACACCTGATGCCTAGCCTCTTGGGTTACACTAAGCTGTATGGGCATGCAGACCTGGTGCATATGAAAAAAGGATGGGTCCCTGATTTCCACATTTGTTCACATTCACGTAGTCCCACATTAACGTGTCTGCACGCAAACAGGCTCGTGCACTCGCTCACACACACAAGTGTGCCCATACACATGAACATGTTCTCACACACAAACACGTCCACAGAGATGAAGGTGGGAGGGTGAGGACAACGCAGAGCCGTATAGCATTTAGACAAAAGGAGACACTGCAGGCTCTCAGTCTGAGGCTGTTGGAATGTGGGGGAACAGCCCTCAGTGGGATAGCTGGGCCAGGGGGTTCAGGATTCGGGGAACTCAAGACTCCCTGGAAGGCCTCCCACTAGACACAGAGTCAGATTCCCCTCTGTGTCTGAGGTGAAGTAGATTTTTAAGGCCACACACACACACTCACACCCCACACAGAGGCCATACCCAACTCTGGTCAGGTTCAAAGGGGAGCCTTGTTCCTTGAGAAGAGAGAGAGGAGGAGGAGGAGGAGGAGCCAAGGAAAGTTAACAGAACTGCTTCTTTCTGGGCAAGAGAAGCGGACTCCACAGTATTGCAAGAGGCAGGTCCCTGAGGATTTCGTGTAGCCCAGTACCTGGCATGACATAGGTGTGAAGGGATGACGGGGATATGGTCATCAGTCCTTTATTTATTTGTCTTCCTCTGGGATTCTCATGGATTCTAGGGAGGAAGAGGAGTTGGATAACAAAGTTTCCCAGAGGGAGAGGGGTGGTTACCCCCCAAACTTCTCCTGCCTTCCTGAGCCATCAGGAGGGACAGTGATGAGCTATGGGGCTGAGGCCGTCACCCCAGAGATAGCATGTAGGCACCTTATCTGGAAGCTTCTTGCTCCTCTTTTAGGAATGTAGGATCCCTTAGCTAAGCTCTCATACTGACCACTGCTAGCACATCATGTGTCCCCTCTGGGTGGAAAAATTAGAAAAAGGTACCAGGTCCCCTTCCTCTGGGCCACATGCGGAGCCAGGACTCGTGACTCGGTGACTGCATTTCAGCTCCCACTTGCCCCTTCAACTGGGAACTCTTGGACAGGGCTATGCTCTGATCCTTTAGTGTTCGGGTCCCCAGGATTCTGCTGTAAGGGATAGGGCTGCCTCAGTGGCACGGAGTGGTCTGGGACAAGATGTCGGACAGTGCAGTGAGGTGGTGGGGGAATGGCTGGCTGGCCTCCCTGGGGCTTGTTGGCTGCCTAACACAGCTTCCATCCTCTAAAGGCATGTGGGGAGCCTGAAAGGCTGTAATAAAGAACTGCATTTCTAGAAACTCCTGTCACTACATAGCACTTTGCTGGGGATCATTCACAATAGCCCTGAATGCTGGAGTCTGGGCTATACCTTCACACAGAGGCCCATTTACTTCTCAGCTGCCATTCGTACACTGATTCCCAATAGCACTTTGCTTTTTGAAGCATTGGGATAGGAATAACACATTTTCCGCTTTGCAACTCAGCTTCTGGGCAATCAGCCTTCAGTGAAGCCAGTAGGCTGAATTGCAAGCGTCATGCATGTTTCCATAGCAGTGGTGTGATGTAATACACATAGAATAAAGGCTTAACTCTGGGGCTGGCTGGAGGCAGCTTTGAGCCAATGAGGAAACAATAAAAATGTATTTTTCCACAGCACCTTATAGTTCACTACATATTTTCACATCCGTGCTCACATTTGAGTGCTCAGCGCTAACACCTAGGCCTGAAAAAGAAATCCAGGAGGCAAAAACACACTCACACATCCAATCACACACACATATTAACACACAAACACCTTTCATTCATGCACTCACATGAACACACGAATTCACTCACATACAGATACACACTGACATATAATCACTTGCCCGTGCTCACACATTTATACGCACACAAACACGCTCATACATTCACGAACATGTCCACACATCCACTCACACACAAACTTGCTCACATATACAAACACTCACAAATTCACTCATACACCTGCTTGGACAGTCACACACATGAACATGTTCACACACACAAACACGTTCACATATTCACATAAACATGCTCACACATGAACGTGGTCACTCATTAACACACATAGACATCTGCACGCACAAACACACACATTAACATGCTTACACATTCACTCGTACCTGCACAGTGACACACTAACTCATGAATATGCATCGATTCATTTGCACATCAGCATGGTCACACATTCACTCACACACAAACACATACAGTCACACATTGAGTCACACACACGAATATACTCACGGGTATTCACATTCAATCACACACGGACATGCTCACGCATTCATTCAAGCACATGAACGTGCTTACATATGCTCACACACATTCACTTATAGAATTGTGATGAGTGAGCATATAACTTGCATATGAACGAGATTGCACACACACAGTCACATTCACACAATGAACATGCCCGCTCACACTCACAGGCACAGTCACACACTCATAAGTTCACTTATGTCCCAAACATTCACTCACACCAACAACACACTTACACATTCCGTCATACCTGCTCACACACAGACTCACATGAACATGCTTATATGCATGAACACACAGACATATTGACTCAGCACATACACGCGTAAACACAACAACTTTACACATGCAGACATGACCGTGCATTCAGTCACACAGGGACATGCTGACAAATGCACTACTGACACATGAACAGTCTCACACAGACCACCCTCATATTCATGCCCACACAGTACACAGAAATACGTGCAAATACACGCATATGTGCACGCATTCATTCACCCAGAAATGTGCTCGTTCACTCACTGGCTCACAGACACACTCACACACCTTCACTCACACATGCACAGAAACACACTCATACATAAGGACATGCTCCCACATTCACTCCCTCAAAAACATTTAAATATTTAATATTTAAATATCCATTCATGTAAATGTGTTCACATTCACTCTCATGTACAGGGCCACACATTCACTCACATACAAACATGCTCACATACATGAAAATACAAATTCACTCCACACACGAACACATTCATACGTTCACTGTCACACACCAACATGCCGACATGCTTGTGTGTGCTTTCACGTTTACTCACATGCAATGCATGCAACCACACAGACATGTTCATGCATTCATTCACATGTGAATACACACAGATGCATTCATATATACGGACATGCGCACATAGACACACATTCCCACACAGAGAGAGAAGCTCCTAAATATACCCATGCTCACCTATTCCTTTGCACATTTACAGGTTCATGTGAACTCACACGTAGCCACACATTCACTCACACACAAACACACCCACTTGCCCATGAACACACTCATAGATTTACTCCCACACAACATGCCCATGTACGTACATATACACATTTACTCCTGCAAAACACACTCAAGCACACAATCATGCTCATGCATTCTCACATACAGACATGCTCACAGGCACTCATATACACACTGACTCACTCACCTGCACGTGAACACACTCACCTATTTACTCGTACATGTGAACATGCTCACATACACTCATGGACACAGCTCACACATTTATTCACTCAAAGACACACATTCACTCATTCATGGACACACATGCACTCACATAAATATGCTCATACACACCACAAATCTTAGCTCTTGTTTTTGGGCTTATTGCTCCTGAGTTTTTATCAGGAAAATCTTTATAAGAAGAGTGTTTCATCACCTTATTTTGTCTTTATTTTGCCCCAACTCCTTCCTTTCAGTGTATCATGGGCTAGGCTCTGCTCTAAGTACTTGGCCTGTGTTAACTATGAGAACAGTGCTATAAAGATCCCCATTTTACCCATGAGGCAACTAACGCTCAGAGAGGTTAGGTAACTTACTCAAGGTCACACAGCTAGAAAGTGTCAAATTGGGGTTCAAAACTCGGCAGTCTGGCTCCTGAGTCCTCTTACCCTTTATCCTACCCTACATATCATAGTGTCTTCCTGCGTTGTAGGTGCCCCTGTGCCGGTGGGAGTATCTATGTATATCTCCAGTATTGAAAAGATCTCAGAAACGACTATGGTAAGTGTGTCAGCTCCAGCCATGGAGCTGAGGACAAGGTACATGGGACAAGGACGAGGTGCAGGGTCATAAGCCAACTCCAGTTGTTCTGACCTGCAACAGAACCCACATGGAGGAGCACAGTAGGTTTTGGAAACTACAGCCACCTGGAATAAAAAAAAATAAATAAATCCAGATGGATTCTAGACCTAAAAGTGAAAGGCTTATGAAGTTTTAAAAAGAGAATGTAGGATACTGTCTTTGCACCTTTATGGTAGCTGAGGAATTCTTTAAAAAGAAACAGAAAACACAAACGATGCCAATAAGCACTGGTAACCAACTATATCAAAATTTCTGTTTAGCCAAAACTGCTAGAACTTCTGTTTTGCAAAACAAACTAAACCAGTGTAACAAGTGCGAAAGGATAAGTCAAAGTGGACCAAATTATTGAAAATATACGTAATTTCTGTGAATTAATAAGAAGAATATTTAAAAACCAACAAAAAGGATCAGAACATTTGAACAGGAACTTCACTGATGTGAAGAAAGCCAAGTAGCAGATAAACATGTGAAAGATGCTTGACTTTATTATGAATCAGTAAAATGCAAACTAAAACCACAATGAGAACCTATTACGTACCCACCAGATTGGCAAAAATCCAAAGTCACTGGAATTTCTAATCTGCCCTTGGCGGTGGTATAAAGCGGAGCATTCGCTTCCTAGTTTTCATTTCATTGTGATTTTGGTATGTATGGTGTATCCCCGCAATAATATACATGGGAATATTATCCACTATGAAAGCAGTGCATGTGAACAATTTTAACTGCACACATCAACCTGAATGAATATCACAAATATCAATATAATGTTTAGTAAAGGAAGAGAATTATGAATGCATACAGTATGATTCCATTCGGAAAAAAGCCTTAAAATAGGTTCAACTAAGCAATATGCGTCCTAGAAATACATACACAGGCAATAAAACTAACAGAAAGAAAGGGCATTAGCATTTAAATCTAAGACAATGGTTACTGCCTGGAAGCATAGGAAATAGGCTCTGGGACGCATTGAAGCTTGAAAGTTGCTGGGGTTCTATCTCTTAACCTGGATTTTAATTACACAAGGCTCATTTTATTATTCTTAACATTTAACATTCTTATATATGTTTCATTACTCGTCTATATTTATAATGTATTTTGCACACCTGCATACACACACGCACTCTCTGAGGCCAGAGAGTTGTCCAGCCCGACAAGGTCGCTTACAATTGGGATTTCTCTTTCTCTCGCCAGGACTACACGATCACCATGTTTTTCCATCAGACCTGGAAAGACCCACGTTTAGCGTACTATGAGACCAACCTGAACCTGACTCTGGACTATCGCATGCTTGACAAATTGTGGGTCCCCGACTGCTACTTTCTAAACAGCAAGGATGGTTTCGTGCACGATGTGACTGTGGAAAATCGTGTGTTTCAGCTTCAGCCAGATGGAACGGTGCGGTATGGCATTCGGTGAGTTCCCCAGGGACTGGGGACTGCCCTGGCAGGCTTCCTTCTTCCCACGGAGTATCCCAGGAACGCACTCTAAGGGACACATAGAGCATCCCATGGCTTTTCAGATCTGTCTTTCATTCACCCTGCCCAGTTTCCCACAGCCACCCTTGGCCTCTGCTTCTGTCCAGAATGGCCCTTTCCATGAGTCTAAACCTCGACCATCTTTCAGTCCTTCCCTCAAATGCCCTCTTTGTCAAGAAATCCTCCTTGATTCTCTCAACTAGAAGAGCTCTCTGTCTGCCTTAGCATTGTATACATGCTGTCATTTCTCTTTGGGTCTTTTCTCTCCCGTGCAGTGAGGGAGGGGGACCGATCTCTGCCATTGGTCATATTTGCATCATGTAGGGGCCCAGGGGTGTGCAGTATGTGTGTGTCGTCTGTGGCTCTGTACACACAGAGTGTGTGCACACTGAACTTCTCACTGCTCTATTTATAACAGCAGACGGCCACTAAGGCTTCGCCTCACAGCATCATCTCTTACAAACCGCCTCTTAAGACAAGTGCAAGGTATACATTTAGCTCAGGAAATGTATCCAAGAGGTAGCTGCCAGGGGTCCGCCTATCCCTGGGTCTCTCTTTCTCTGGGGTGCTGCTGCTCTGTCCCTTGTTTTCCTTTTCTTTCTCCATCTAATTTCCCACGGACCAAGGCACTGGACTCAGGGAACAGCAAAGCTTGCAGGGAACAGGACCTGGGTCACACTGGCTTCCTTTAAAGGGGGCTTCGGCTGATGAGTGCTACGTGGAGGATTCATAGAAGGGACACACACACATGCACACGCGCGCACACACACACACGCATACACACCCTGCCCCCTGTGCAGATGGAAATCACTTCAAAGGTTCAAAGGGACTAGGCTGGATTTAGCAGCTGGGAAGGGCAGGATAAGGGGTGGGACAGAGCCTCCCAGCTGAGGCTGCAGAGAACTTTTGGAATTATCCTCTTTCCCATTGGTCGCTTCTCCCACCTCTCCTCAGATCCCTCTCACAGAGGACTCTGCCGCCCCTGCCCAACACTCCATTGCCCACCTCAGATACGTTAATCCCTCCTATCTGTTTATACCCGTGGGCATTTTGCTGGGCGGCAGGTACCCTCAGAGGCAGATACACAGAGATGAGAGCGCTGTGGGGTAGGAGCAGCTCCCAGGGCCAAAGGTGGGCCTGGGCCACAGCTCACATCCATACCTGAGCACAGCGTACTCCACAGCACATCAGGGGCTTTAGCTGCTCCAATGCAGCAGCCTCCTCTTGACAGCCTTGCTGCTTCTTCAGCAAGAAAGCCCCATTTCTGTCTCTGCCTTCAGTTTCCTCAAGAGCCCTTCCTGTTCTGACACCCTGAGGTTTCGTGTTATTTGTTTAAGTCCTGCCGGATCTCTTGTTTTTTTTGTCACATACAATTGCCCTCTCTCCTCCCTACACAACTGCTACTCAGATTTCCTCTGGGAAGGAAAGAAGGAAAGAAAGAAGAGAGGGAAGGGGAGAAGGAGAGCCCTGCTCTAGTTCAGGCTTATGGGAAGGTGTTGGGTGGGTCAGTCCTCAGGTTACCTCTCCCTCCCGACCCCTGCAGTGTTCTCAGGAATGGTTGTTTATCTGGGCTTGATTCACTTTTCCCTTCCTTTTGCTTTTCCTTTGTAGACTCACCACCACAGCAGCTTGTTCTATGAATCTGGACAATTTCCCTATGGACAAGCAGACCTGCAAGCTGGAGGTGGAGAGCTGTACGTTGATCTCTCATGGCCCCTTCTTCCCTGCTTGGGATTGCGGCCATCAGGAAACCAAAGGCAGACTTGACAGTGAGAGGGATGGCATATCTCCCCTCCTCCCTCCCTCCCCCTTTCTCTCTCTCCTTGATAGACAGACAGCTATCTACATGGCATCTGGGAGAGGATGTCCTTTGGGGTTTAAATAGTCCCATGAGGAAATTGTACCTTGCTATGGGAAATTTTGCACAAGGTCGCAGGTAGGAACACATGTCTTTGCTGTGCTTTCCATCCTGGCTAAGGAACTCCAAACTGAGAGTTCTCTTTCCAAGTGCCCCCCCACCATGCTCAGACTCCACAAAACACAAAGGAGCCCCCAAAAGTGCAGGTTCCAAGCATCCTTTGGCTTCTACAGACTGCACTGACGTGAAATCTGCTTATGCCTGTTTTCTGAGACTGACTGACGCTGTTTGTCTCCATCTCCCAGATGGCTACACGGTTGATGACATCATATTATACTGGGAAGGCAATGGCAGTGCCATCCAGGGCACCGAGAAGCTGCACATCCCTCAGTTCAGCTTCCTGGGAAAGACATTGACTAGCAAGCAGGTGCCTTTGTACACAGGTGAGTTTGACACCTCCCTTGTCTCTTTTGTACCCTGGTAAACTCCTGAGGACCTCTGCCTTAGACCTCTACACGCTGTGCTGCCTCCTTTCGTATTTCCTTCTGGTTCTAGAACCTTCCAAAACCCCTTTCATAAGTCACAATGGCTTACTCTCTGCAAATAAGGATATGGGTGCGGGAGCACGTGGCCAGGTTTAACACTCCACAGGTGTAAAAGATTCATGTTCTTGCTGAGTTAAAAAAAGGCCTCTCAGGGCCAGGCCCTCAACCTCCATCTGTTTGCAGCTTTGAAACATCTCATGTCTCCCCCATTTCAGAATCACTTGACGTAGAGCAAGGAAAGAAAGAAGGAAGCGAGAACAGACTTGCTATGCCATATGGGCCTATTGACACGTGCCATTGTCCCCGACCTTAAGGCAGCAAATGGGGCCAGGCCTGCAGACTTCCCAGGCTGGAGTATTAGATGCTGAACTGTCCATCGGTTCCCCCTTCTCCATCCCATACTTCACCCTGAAAACCCCCTTAGCCCTGCCACCCTGATTACCAGTGTGTCTCCTTGCCAGGTTCCTATGAGCGCCTGATCCTGAAGTTCCTGATCCAGAGGGAAATTATCAGCTACCTTGTGCAGGTCTATTGGCCTACTGTCCTCACCACTTCCATCTCTTGGATATCATTTTGGATGAACCATGAATCCTCCGTAGCCAGAGTGACAGTCGGTAGGTCCCTCCCCAACCTTCCCCCATCCCAGAGGGGAACTTGGGTCACCTTCTTCAGAAAAAAAGTTGAGAGTAAGGGAGGAGTGTGTGAATGCACAGGAAGGAAACAAAATGGGGCATTCTCAACAGGCATTTGTACAGGTGTTCAGCCAGTCCCCAGCAGAGAGACCAACGTTGGAGATAGGTGTGAAAAAAAAAACAGGGATGGAGTCTTCGTACATTGGGCCCAAAGTACCAGAATTTATTATTTTCTGGATACGTACATGAATGGAGAAGTCGTACATATAGATCAGAAATGCAATACAACAAACACTGATTAAGCAACATATCCAAATGCCCTACTAAGCAGCGGAGGGAGGGCTTTCAGAGGAGCTGCCCTCAATGAATATCAGGTGTAATGCCGAGACAGATGCCACTGGAGTCCAGAAAAGGAAGTGATCCAGGTCTTGTTAGCTAAAATCACACCAAAAAAGTGTCGCATGAACTGCATTTCAATTTGAAGACTTGTAAGAGGCGGAGTTGTAAGACTTGGCATTCCCTAAAAGAGGAAATCGCTTGATTGAAGGCAGAGGGGCCCTAAAAGGGGGGTGAGCGGCTAAATAACAGGGTGCTTGAAGTAGGAACTGGGGAAGTGGGGAGAGTAGCAGAAAGAAAGCCTGGGATGACTTGGGAAGACCTTAAAAATTCCACCTTAAGCAGTTGGAACTGTATGTCTAAGCAATGGGGAGAATCGAAGGTTTCTGAGCAGTACCAAGAAGGGGCCTAAGAAACCAGCTCCTAAGTTCACTTGGCCTCACCCTGAGGAATGCAGTGTCTCAGATCCTGGTCTGGTTTCTCCTTCACCATTTTTGGGGCAGACGCCTCAGCCTCCTTCTTCAAGAGCATGTGCTACACTAAACCTTTTTATCTGTGTAATATTTTAGGGCTCCCTAAACCTTCCTAGAGACGTGATCTCGTTTAGTACTGAGGTACTAAAGGAAAGCCTACGGACTAGGAAGCAAAAGGGGAAGGAGCCATTACAGGGCCAAATGGGGCTGGAGCTATAAACCGCCGTGGAACCCTAGCTGGAGAGTTTGGACTCGATCCTGAATGCAATAGAAGTCACTGAACCATTGAAGCACAGGCTAGGTGTAAAGATGGGGCACTTGAGCACAGGCCCCAGGCCTAGAGAGCTGAAGTCCTTTTGCTGAGGGCTCTCCCCACCCCGGAGATGGCTTCCTTCCTGTAGGATGTAGGCCCAATGGCTTGTCAAGAACTTCAGCCACCCGAGGAGGCTAACCTTGTGCCGTGTTGTTGATTACAGGTCTGACTTCAATGCTCATCCTGAACACCATCAACTCCCATCTGCAGGAAAAACTCCCCCATCTTTCCTGTATCAAGGCCATCGACATCTATATGGTTGTGTGCTTCTTCTTCGTGTTCCTGTCCCTGCTGGAATACGTCTGCATCAACTACCTTTTCTACAACCGCAGAGGATCCCAGCGCCTTTACAGGCAGCGCAGGAGAGCCCGAAGAATCATGGCGCGCTACCGGTACCGGGAATTGGCACAGCAGGTTTGGCTTTTTTGATTGACAATCAGCTTTCCCTGAGCACCTCTTAAGCCTAAGCTTAGCCCTTGACCCTTTCACATTGTCTTAGTGGTTCTTTTAACACACACACACACACACACACACACACAACGCACACACGCACCAGAAATAAAGAAGTGAGATTTATCATCACTCCTCTATAGGTTGTCATTGTCCAAGGTCACAAGGCTAGTAAGTGGCAGACCTTTGGCCTTCAAATCCAGTCCAGTTAGCATCTTCCAAGGGCAGGCAATGGAGCCAGAGAGGAAGGGACCACAGGGAGGCTAAAAGGAAGAGACAGACGCCAGAGAGGCTGGCCTTCCCCTAATTCTTTTGCTCTTCCAGCTCCCGAAGCCATGCTGAGGCTTCTGTTGCTGGTGGCACATTAATGTCCAGGAGCCCCTCCCTCCTTCATGGGGAGCCCAGTCCCACGTGGCTGTGGAGGCCTCGCCTCTGTCTACCATGCAGCACTCCAGAGAGAGCAGCTGCCCCGGGGAGACACGGGCTTGGCAGCCACCGGGGACTTCCCTTACATGCTCACAGCTTCTTGGTGCTGTTCCTCAGTCCCTTGCACACCAGAGACCCCAGGAAGAGGTGATTCTGTCCGTGGGAGAGATCAACCAAGCGCATTATGAGTGCTGATGAGGAAGGCCCCCTCCGGCCTCTGGCCCTGACAGTGCTTATTCATGTAGGATTTCAATCTGTTGATTTCATGAGTCTCTCCACTGTCTCCTCAAAGATTGACCGGGTTAACATCGAACATGAAAGTGGCTCTCCTCCCTCCAGACCAGCGCGTGCCCGCCTGGCGAGCTCAGAAAGCCTCAGCTCTTTGACCTCCACCCCAAAGCAGGCCCCTCTGGCCACCTCAGAAAGCCTCAGCTCACTGTCTACTCTCTCTGACCAGTCCTGCCTGCCCAGTGAAGAAGGCCTGAATGATCTCTCGTCCACCTCACGGAACATCGCGCACAACTATGACATTAACTTTAATGATTTCGATACTGATCACAGTGTTATTGCTGCGGAAATCCACCATAGTGCCGAGGACCATGACCATGCTGAGACCCGTGACCCAGAAGACCCTGAGGAGAGCGACAGCGTGGGTGACGACTATGGCCATGGCCCCAGAGAGAGGCATCTGTTCGTCCGTGGCCAGAGGTACATGCAAGAAGCAAGCTGCGCCCCTGAAAGCCTTGATGAGTTCTTTAGAGTGCCTAAAAACAAAGTTCAGCGCAACCGCCCTACGCTCCAAGAGCAAGTCCAGCGTGATGATGACAATGACACTATCTGCAGCCGTGCTGATGACGAGGACACCACCTGCAGCTGTGATGGTGACAATGACACTGTCTGCAGCAATGATGGTGACAGTTTTGTGGGCTTTGATCAAGACAAGGACAGCGACTCAGAGTCTGATGACAGTTGTCCCCCGAGCCCTCAGTACTCCTGTGGTAAAAGGTTTACCTACAAGCTCTTTGACCCTGACTACGTCCCTAAGATGGACAAGTGGTCCCGGGTCCTCTTCCCTCTGGCCTTTGTGGTGTTCAACGTCGTTTACTGGGTGTACCACACCAATTAGTTCGATAGTGCCCCAGAGCGGCAGGGATGCTGGGCTACGTTCCTTTCACAGCTCCTTTTGTTTTCATTTTGCCTTCTCTTCTTTGTTCATTTTATTTTTCGTTATTTGGGCAGTCGAATCAGTTCTCCCTCATTCTTTAGATACACGAGGTGGGGAGTACTTGGAAAGGATGTGTTCTGGCTAGAAGGAAGGGATTGAGGAGTTGGAGGGAAAGGGCTAACTGATTTCCCTTTTCTGCTAGAAGACATGACCTTTTCAAAGACTCCTCGCAGCTAATCAGCACAGAAAAGCCCCTGGAAATGTCGGGAGGACCTAGAGGACCCAAGCTGAGGGACAGAGGAAGGAGCTGAGCCCTGCACACAAGAGTTTCTGGGGGCTTCTCTCTCCCCCCGAGGTGTTGAATTTTCTTTTTCATTACTTCTTTTCTTCTGGTTTTTCCTCCTAGGGATTATGGTCCTTGCTCACCTGCTGCTTAGGGTTTTACAGGACAAACTCAAGCTAGGTAGGGCTTGGAAGTGCAGGGGACCGACTCTAGGGAACTTGAGGAGTTTGGAAAGTGCCTTTTCCCCACTATTTTTTTCTGTTATGTTTTGAGTGTGGTGTTGTGGCACACTCAAGGGTTGGGAGTGGTAGGTAGGTGGGTGGTTAGGGGTGCTGAGTGAGACATCAGGGCAAATGAGAGTAGGTTTCCAGCAGGAGCTTGCGGGGGTGAGGGTGGGGGTGAGTGATGTCGGGTTGGAGATTACCCAAGTTGAGCTGGCATCTTTGGAGGGATTGAAACTTCTCTTGTATATATTTCTGCTTCAGAGTGCTTGACAACAGGGACTCAGTACATCTGTCTAGGTCAGATGCTGAGTTGACCACTAGTGACAGAGCAAGCACTTGGTGAATGAAGACTACCATCTGATTTAGAATAGCAGATGAACAACTGTTGTAAATCTGTATACTAATCCTTTCTATTTGTCTAGTGCATAGCGTCAACTAGGTCACCGACCCATCTCATCGTCAAACCCTCATGGGAGCTCTGTGAGCCAGGGAAGGCAAAGCACATTGTCCCCAGTGTTCTGAGGAGAAAAAATGGAGCTTGAGGACGTGCAGCCAGTGAGCAGTGGAGCCACCCCACTTGCTCTCCCTTCTTCTTGTCCTCTTAACTCTGTCAACTGAGGCGCTCGCCTTTCACCTGTCCCCTTTACTCCATTGGTTCTGCTTATCTGCCAGGCACCAGACCTTGTTCTACAGCACTGGGAACACGTCTGCGGAAAGGTCGGTGAGTGACCAGTGTGAACCAAACAGATGGAACATGGGCACTGCCCACCCAGTGGGGCTCCTAAGGGAAGCAGAAAGGAGCTTGTGCCCCACTTGCCAAGCAGTTCCACTCCATCGATAGAGGCCATGGGAGAACAAGACTTGCCAAGCCCTCAGCCTGTGTGCCTCTACCCTCCCTAGGCAGCCTCCCCTACAGCCCCTCAGCCACCTGCCCTTCTAACTGTGTTTTCCGCGCTTGTGTTTCTGCGTAGACCTGGGTGTGTGTGTTCATCAAGGTAGTTCTCTGTGCACATACAACTATTTGAGAAGCTGTATGTATATCAGTGTTATTCTATATGGGTGTATATGAGTATATATAATGACGTGTGGATGCATATATGTATGTGTGCACCCCTTGTGACTTAACGTGTGTGCTTGGGTGTACACACATAGGTGTATTCTGTGTACGTGTGTAAGTGCATACCTATGTTTATTTACCTGATTTGAACGAGCATGAAAGGAAATACACCTGAAAGCATATGTATTCCTTGTTGGTGGCTCTCGTAGACCCACCAGAATACCCTTGACCTGTTTCCACATCAGCGGGGCCCCTGTTTGGCCAGGTTGATTAACTGACTGTTTCTTTCCAATTCCTGTTCCAGGGAGCAGCATCTCCCAGTCCCCATCTTCCTCTCTCCACTCCTCTCTTCCTTTCTTCACTCATCCGTCCATCGCCTGGATAAAAGACATAGAAAACAAATGAATGTAGTCCTAGAGTCCTAGGAAGCGATAATTTAGTGCCTTGAGGTAGAAAGTTCTCAATTGTGGGATAAACTGGGAGTGCAGAGCATTTTGCTTTGTCCTGGAAGGACGTGTTTGGGATGCCTTGAATTTGCATTGAGAGCAGAAACATGATACAGAGAGCTGAAGAGCTGGAGACATGGTTGTATATAGCCTTTATAATTCATCCATTTATTCCAATCACCTTGTAAGCCTGACCTTGGAGGCAGCCCCAAGCAGGTGGGTGATGGGAGGAAATGGCCCAGGGAATCGGCTGCTAGCAGCTGGATGCAGAGAACCAAAGGTGCCTGGGAGATGGCTGCAGGCATGGACTGTGGTGGTGGGCCCATTCAGGGCCAGGGGCAAGTTAGTAGCCATCCTGGGATGGTTGGCTGAACTTGGATATGGAACTCCCTCTTTCCACCCCCTCCAGGGAAAGAGATAGTCAGAGGGGTAAGAGGGCTGATGAAGAAAAGTGCAAAGGAGCCCTAGGGACTGCCTGCCTAGATCAGCCCAGCTTGTCATCTCCTCTCCTTTTCTATAGCATAGAAATAGAGCCTCCTACACATATACACCCACAGAGACCTACACAGTCACACGTACGTGGATACACATTGGGCTCTCACCGTCAGCAGTGTATATGTTCACAAGCACAACCACATGCGTGTATACTCGTATTTGCACACACACACACCCCCACACACAAATTTGTAAGACAGATAAAAACAAGAAAGGTGCCTCTGGAATGTCTAAGATTGCCTCTTTCTTTTTGGACGCCCTTCACAGAGAGATCCAGGTTGCGGGGAGAGCAATGACCCCACATCTAAAGCTCCCTTCATGGCTATGGAAAGACTTAAACATTGGTTGGTTAGTTTGGATCGGGGTTTCCAGGACCCTGGAGGGCCTTTGAGCCCTGCGGGAGGCAAGCGGTTCATTTGGAGTGAGGACATACAGAGACTGGAGCAGTGAGGACAATGAAGGGGTTTTAAGATATGCCTGGCAGCGATGCCCAAGAAGACCTCCGGGCACAGGGGAAGGGCAAAGAGGCCAATTGTAAATATATTCAATATCTATAGATCCATGTAGCTAGATATAACATTATACCTTAAAAAGGTATAATTGCCCTATTGTGCTGCAATGAGAGCAGTTGAACTCGACTGCGACTCACACTGTGTGAGGTTAAGTGTCAAGGTGAGGTGGAGGTTTGGCAATGACACCTTTTCAGAAACTTGAACCTTCTGAGTTTGCCATGGACTTGGTCATTGGAGTCTGAAAATTGCCAGATCTCCCCTTGTCATGTTCTATGTGTGTTTTGTAATCAGCACCATCATTGAGCCCCATCCTCAGCTGCCCCCAGCCTTGCAGGCACACCTTCCTTCAACTGGCTGCCTACATCCCCTCCCACTCCTCACCTCACACCAAGTAACTCTGGAAATACAGAGCATCTAACAGGGCACTTCTGGGGTTCGGGCCATGGAGCCTTTTGCAGCCCCAGCCAATCAGAATGCTTGTGGTGATAGATAGCTTGGAGTTTGGGCAGAGGGAAGGAGCTTGCCTAATCTGGGATGGAGCAACCCCCACTTGACTCCTCTACCCACCTTCCCTTTTTTCTCCTCACATGGGCTATCATATTAACTTTCCCCTTAGAATCCCCTCTGTGTCACCACCATGGGAAAGACAGCCTCTGTCTCTCCAAAGTGTCGTTTTGTTGTGGGGATGCGTGACACGTTTCCTACCAAGTTCTTGCCTGTTCCATCTGCCACTGTGGTGTGCCTTTGCAGAGATAACAATCTGCTGGGTCTTAGCAGAGCTTTTCAAATGTGTTCTTACAATCCATGTCATCTAGTTAATGGCAAGGCTGCAAAGTCTGCATATTTAGAGATGTGTTGTTGCTGAGACTGTGGTCATTCCTTATTCTGTACATAAAAAAGCTAACCCTCTGAGCTATTAACTAATGGATGCATTTGCTAAGCTATCCACCTGCATGGTACCCTACTGTGGTGCTGAGCCTCCAAGGAAATCGTGACGTGTCCTACCAAGTGTGGTTGTGCTTGTTGTATAGTGTCCTGTGATCAATATGAAATCTCTACTACTAGTGTTGGGTTTTCGGGGTAGGGAGGGGGGAGGGGGTGTTACAGTGTCTCCCTCACATACTTCAATTATGAAATAGCCCCAGTTGATCAGGGTCATCTCTGTTGACTCAACGTGTGTGAGACCTCAGACCCGCCATCTTGCCAGACTGACTGCATCCGCGGGCTCAGCAGTCATCAGCAGAACTGAAGGTGCCCAGGTGTAGTGCAACTAGCCGCCATGCCAGGGAGTTCTTCAGAAGGCAGCCAAGGCAGGTCTTCAGGAGTGGTGCTGGGCCCAGGCGGTGGAAACCAAGAAAGGAAAAAGGGCAAGACCCATGTACCCTGGATGGCCTGACCCGCGAAAGGACACAGAGCAGCAGAGACCCCTCCCCCCCCAAGACACCTGGTGCCCTCTTTGTCCTTATTAAATGTAACTTTTTGAATAAAAAAGATCTTGAGCAGTTCTGACTTCAGAAAAGGATAACATGAAGAAACAAAATTATGCTTCTGAAAAGTATGTTGAAATAAAGGTTTGTAAATAGCCCAAAGGAGAAAATAAATATATATAATGGCAAATACGCTTACGGGTCATGGTGGTTCCTCTCTGTTGACTTGGGAGGGAGCTTTATGTGGGCCCCGGAAGCCCTGGCTTCCACCACTCACCTTTGCCTTTCCCCAGCTCTGCGCATTGTCCTCATGGTACCCTGGGACATTCGAATCCATGGTTTTCAAGTGGAACCACGGTTTTCACGTAGAAGGGAAATAGTAACATCACAGTTGGAATTAGTTTACACTGCTGCACAAGCCATTCTAATCATTTGAAACAAACGTTTTAAAACATGGCAAGCCATTTTGGCGCCCACATACAATGTGAACACTTATTTCCATTTAAGGGGAGGTCTTCATAAAGAACATAAAAAGAAACTCCTTTGCCAATGTGGACGCGCAGAACAGAGAGCAAGAAAGCCCTGTGAGGGTGGGAAGAGGGCATCATGCTCGGGTTTCAAAACGTTTGCAGAGTCACATTAAAACGTCATGCTGATGGTGCCCAGGGTCCTTGCTGCAGCCCATGTTTGTCAGAGCGCCCACCTCCATGCACCTATTGATGAAAACTTTGCAGTTGCAACAGGAATCCTAACCTAATGGCTCCTCCTCTGTCACCCCTTTTGTATCCAAAGCAAGCCAGGAGAGAGCTGTGCATTCACACCCTGCAGGGGCTGCTTTGCCCAGGGGAGGGGGGTTGGTGTCACAGGTATATGCAGAAGGAGAAAATTCAGTGTGTGTGTGTGTGTGTGTGTGTGTGTGTGTGTGTGTGTGTGTGTGTGTGTGTGGTGGGGGGGAGTTTTCATAGTACATCTGCAGCCCTTTACTAGCTACTGAATTCTTTTCTGCTGGCTAAGCTGAAGGTGGCCCACGACCCCAAGTGGAGCTTGTGGCCTTTGAATGATCTGATTGTCACTTGTTACCCACTGATTATACAACTACCCTAAGGTATAGGGTGAAAGAAGGGGGAGGTGGCCTCCCTCCCCCTTTACAGCTTTCCTAACATTCAAGGTGAAAGAGCCCTTGCCACACCCTC